AATAATTCCATAATTGACCCTAATAACTATTATGAGGCTCTAATAATTATAGTAAGCGATTAAGAATGCTGAAAGTCGCTTTTCGGAAGAAAAGTGCAGATACCGGTTCTGTTAGTCGGTATAAATGCGTACCAAAAAAGTATCCCGGAAAATTATAACAAGTGCATGATAATTCCTAGAATAATATATAGGACTTGTAAAACGAGTTTCAAGTTAAAATAATGAGAACTGGTGCAAGAAACTGATACTGGCTATTTAAAGCGCGTACCGGAAAGGTGCTGCGAAAAATATAAGAAAAATATGATAAATCTTAGAAAAATGAATAGATTAAGAATCCTGAGTTTGGGATTAAAATGCTAAGCGTAGCATTTAAAGTTAATACTATGTGTGTAAGACTTAAACCACTCTATATGGGCTCTTTTGGCCCAAAACCCTAGGCATCCTTTCTGTTGCTACATGGATAGGAGGCCGATACACTGTTCATTTGCCACTCTTACCTTGTTCTTGACCAAAACTCAAGCAAGTGACCATTTTCTTGGTGGATTCTTCATCCTAAACACTTGAGCCTTGTGAGGGTGTGTCTTGGGAGGGCGTGGATTGCTCTTTGGCTGAGTAGTGTCCTCTTTTTGGTGGCTTTGAGTGATGTCCTCTTGAGTTGAGGTGGTGAGAGCTTTGTTCTTGCCATTGTGAGCTCTAAGTAGTGAGTTTTGTAGGGAAAGACACCATCTTGGAGTGTCATTTTCGTGGTTGTCAAAGTCAGAACCTTGGAGCTGAAGTGTGAGCTCCAAGAGCACCCTTAGCTGCTGCCTTGAAGCTTTGGGTAAGTGGCTCAACCTTTGATCATAAGTTATTGGTTAAAAATGGAACCTTGATGCATGTAATGAGCTAAAGATGATAACCTAACGTTGGGTAATGCTTAACACACTTAGAAATGCATGTTTAAGCTTCTGTAATCGGTAAAAGTTGGACCTTTGGTTTGGATTTTCGTGAAATGCAGAATCTGGGTTCTGTCGCGAAATATCCGGATATTTCGTTGTGAATATCCAGATATTGATATCCGGATATGGGTATCCGGATATTGATATCCGGATATGGAGATCTGAATATCCGGATATTGGAAGAGAGATATCCGGATATGCCCCCGACGAATATCTGGATATTCTGGGATTTCGAAGAACAGTAGCTGCACTGTTCATACAGTAGGCTATTGAGGGTTTGTGGACCCTAGAGTGATGAAGTTGAACTTCTGTTTTAATTGAACTAAGTCAGACTCAAGTGGTTAAGGGCTTATGGCTTTGTGTGAAGCCTTAAGACATAAATCGTAAGAGGAAAAACGTAGTCTTTATGTTCATGCTTTTGAGCTTTGTTGTTGATATGCTTGCTGGTCCTAATCATATTGTGATCTGCTGTGTGTGGAACTTGAGCTGTGTGGACTCTTGGCATTGGATAATGAGCTTGCAAGGTAAGCTTTTGTGTCCTCGGTTTAGCCATGTTGTAGTTCCACCATGTCCCATGAGGGTATGGTTATATACATGCTGTGTTACATGCTTTTGATGTTTTGAAAATGCTGTTGAGCTGTTATATGCTAGTGCCTTTATGATATGCATGTGGTGTTCCACCTATATGGTAAGCCTGAGTATGTGGTACATACAATATGGTGAGGCTATGGGTGAGGTGCAAGCGGTGTTCCTTGTACTATTTGTAGATAATAGACGTATTCATGCATTTCTCTGGCCAGTAGAATAGTATTGACACACATGGCATGAATATATGTTGCACTGCATTGAGTTTTGAGAACTTATATTGAATTACTGCTTTTAGAACTTATATTGCACATGTAAGTGAGCTTGAGGTGGAAGATCCTTGAGGACCCCTTGTCTTACTGAGATTTCTGGTTTAGAGATCTCACCCCACGTTTGGGGAATGCTTATTTCAGGTTCAGGTAATGCGGGGGTTGAGACCTCTAGTGGCAGGAGGCCAAAGCTTAGCTGATAGATGTTACATGTTTATGCTGCCTATGCTGATATGCTGTTATGATTGGATGTTGGATCCTATTTACTGTCTTATGCTTTTAGCTTCAGTTTATGGATTTCTCTGTTGAGACTCTGTTGGTTATGCTGTTGATTTGGTGAGCATGGGGATTGTCCATGCCACTTAGACTTGATTATGTCTTGTTTTATTTGGAGTTGTAATAATGTATCAGGATATTGTCCGGATTATGTGTTGTAATGTCGTGACTTAGATACTCACTTTATCTATATTATGAGGTATTTCAGTTAGATGTCTATTTGCATTACATACAGGCGATGTATTTTATGAAATTGATTAAGTAATCAACTTGGCTAAGTATAATGATGTCATAATTGAAAAGAAAAAGATATTCCGCAATTTTTAATTAAGCGCAACTTAATACAATGATATGTTAACAAATCGGGTATACATGAGGTGTTACAATGATATGTTAACAAATATGTGCAATATAAGTTCAAAAGCATTTAACAGTATAAGTTCCAAAACTATGCAGTGCAACAGATATTCATGCCATGTGTGTCAAAACTATTCTACTGGCCAGAGAAATGCAGGAATACGTCTATTACCTACAGTTAGTACAAGGAACACCGCTTGCACCTCACCCACAGCCTTACCCTACTGCTTGTACCACATACTCAGGCTTACCGTATAGGTGGAACACCACATGCATATCATAAAGGCACTTGCATATAACAGCTCAACAGCATTTCACAAACCAATACATCATGAAAACAACATCATGCATATAACCATAACCCCATGGGACATGGTGGAACCAACAATGGCTAAACCGAGGACACGAAAGCTTACCTTGCAAGCTAGCTACCTAAGCCAAGAGTCCACACAAGCTCAAAGCCCAAAGACAACAGAATCACAATCTGGTTTGGATCAATAATAATATCAACAACCATACTCAACAAGCATACGATATAAAGACAACGCCTTTTCTTTCGTTTCATGTCTTTAGGCTTCTCACAAAGCCACAAGCCCTTAATCACATAGATTCTGACTTAGTTAATTATTACAGAAGTTCAACTTCATCACACTAGGGTCCACAAACCCATAACACTGTTCTGTATGAACAATACCGTTACTGTTCTCAAAATCCCAGAATATCCAGATATATGTCGGGGCCATATTCGGATATCCATATCCGGATATCTCCAATCCCATATCCGGATATCATATCCGGATATTTCGCGACAGAATGCAGTTTCCGCATTTCGCAAGATATCACTCCCAAGGTTCCATTTTTAAAACTGCAGTTGCAAATCTTTACCAAAAATTCTGAGATTTTATTATGTTAAACTAGACATCACAAGCTTTCCAACGACATTTTTTATGTCTCAATCGGAGTTGTATAACTCCGGTTATGATTTTCGCAAAGTGACTGCTGCAAACTGAATTTCCAACAACCAAGACGCGACTTCAAAATAAGAATGAGATTAAAGCACTTATCCAATGGCTACAAAATTTTACAGGGTTATAACCCTATCTGTTATCTACACATATGTCCAAACAGAACTCGATTTTAAGCTCTGTAACTCAAGATATCGAATTTTTACCGAAAAGGGTTCGTTGCTGTCCCAATATCCAGATATCATATCTGGATATGCCATATCCAGATATCATATCCGGATATTTCACGACAGAGGCCACAGACAATAGCCTAGCACGAAAATATCCATTTAAAATTCCATCTTTCACCTACATACATCTATCCCAACGACTTAACATGCATTTTAACATTTAGGTTCATCAACCAACGTTCAAATTATCAAAATTCATAATTTTACATCTTCAATTCATGTTATATTCATGAAAGCACAAAGGGAAGTGTTGAGGCATATACCCATGAGCTTCAAAATAGCAAAATGGGTGCTCTTAGAGCTCACCAACAGTCTCCAAGGTTCAGACTTCACAAGGCTACGAAAATGAGTAACAAGGTTGGCCCTTTCTTCACAAAGGTCACTCCTTGGACCTCAAAATACCATGACAATGGTTTTCACAAGGAGAACCCACAACTCAGCCCCCAAACACCTCACAAACAGAAGCTCACACTTAGAAATGGTATGCCAAACCCACTCACACAGCCCACCATTCAGTGTTTGAAAGGAAGAGGAGAAGAAAGTAAGAGTAAAAGTGATGCCTTTGGTGTTTACAAGAAAAAGACTCAAGCCATGAAGGGAGAGGAAGGTGGAGAGCTCCTTATCAGAAATGGCCCACGTAGAAATCTGAGTATGGCCTAGGGTTTTGGGCCAAAAGATATATTTATAGTCCGGTTAAGATTAAACACACTGTATTAGCATTAATAGCTACGCTTATCCTTTTAATATCAAACTTGGAATTCTGAACCTACTCATTTTTCTAAGATCTGTCATATTTTTATTTTATTTTTCGCAGCACCTTTCCGATACGCGCTTTTCCATAGCCAGTATCAGTTCTGGCACCAGTTCTCATTATTTTAACTTGAAACTTGTTTTACAAATTCTATATATTATTCTAGAAATACTCAAGCACTTATTATAATTTTCTGAGAAACTTCACTGGTACGCATTTATATCGGGTAGCAGAACCGATATCTGCACTTTTCGTCAGAAAATCGACTTTCAGTATTTTTACTCACTTACCATAATTATTAAAGCCTCATAATAATTATTAGGGTCAATTATGAAAGTATTTCCTAATTTTCATATTTAATTAATGAATTTCCTTAATTAACGGTGCAGGTTCTTACAGTTGAGTTCACAGCGCGGTCAAAGAAGTATCTGGAGCTTGAACATATGGAAATTGAGAATAAGGATCAGAAGCACCTTCCTAATCAAATAGAGAAACCCGAAAATCGAAGGCAAAGTGAATTTCGGAGTAAAAGACAAGACGAAAGAATTCCAGAAATGGGGAGATTTGAGAAGTACGCACCCTTGAATTCATCCAGGTCACAAATCTGGAGAGAAGTAGCCTCCACCTAAATGAAGAAGGTAGATAGACCTCGGCCTTTGCTCGCCCAAGCCGGGTTAGACCAATCTCGGTATTGCGCATTCCATGATGGGCCTGGGCACACTACAGATGAATGCTGGGATATGAGGGATGCGATTGAAAAATATATCAGAGACGGAAAGCTGCGTCAGTATTTAATAAGGACTCAAGGATGGAGGAACAACAGGAAAAGAAAGGGCCGACCTATGAGTCCTCCAAAAGAAAAGAGATTCAAAGAAGAAAGCCGGGGTAAGAAGCCGGCTAGAGAAAAGGATGAATTGTTGGAGCCAGAGTTTGAATGCAATGTGATTAGTGGGGCTTTTGGCGGGGGAGGCGATACTATTAATAACAGAAGAAAATATTTAAGAGAGGTGCTTTCGATTCAGGAGCGACCTATTTTCAAAGAAGAAGCCAAACCAGAGCCGCCAATGCTATATTTTACTAGAAAAGAATTGGAAGATGTGATGCCAGGACATGTTGACAGATTGGTCATTACGGGAACACTAGTCAACTGCAAAGTCAAGAAGATATTTGTGGAAAACGGCAGTTGTGCCGACATAATTCTATGGCAGGCGTTCAAAAAGATGAACCTAGATGAAGAAAACTTGAAGCCCTGCAACACTTCCTTGATTGCATTCAACGGCCGTAACACCATCCCTAAGGTACATTGATCTCAGGCTCATTTTGGGAACCAAAGAGGCATACAAATCAAAAAGGGTAAGGTTCATTGTAGCCGACTTCCTTTCAGAATATAATGTGATATGGGGAAGACCAACCATCCACAGTTGGGATATGTTGGTTTCCACCAAACATCAGAAAATTAAGATGATTGGTAAAAAAAACACAGTAATAACCATCGCCGGAGACCAGAAGGAGTCTCTAGGCTGTTATTTTAACTCAGTCAGAGCAGTGGGCAATGAGCCAAAACCTTCAGCCGAGATAAAAAAAGAGAAGCAATCAGGTCAGCCCGAGCCAAAAGGAGAAAACTTCATAACATGGTGGAATTAGACATGAGAGATGATACTCAGATGCCGAGGCCTAAACCCAACGGAGAGTTAGAAGAAGTAACCATCGGAGATCCAGGACAAACTGCAAAGATCGGTAAAGGGTTACAGATGATGTAAAAAATCAACTCATCACATGCTTGAGGAACAACAAAGACGTCTTTGCTTGGAGATCCACAAAAATTCCCGGGGTAGACCCTATTTTCTGTTGCCATAAGTTAGCGGTGTATCCCGGATCTAAGCCGGTAGCTTGGAAGAAGAGGAAGCTAAGCCCTGAATGTCGGCAGGTGTTAGAGGATCACGTGAAGGAGCTGTTGGAAGCAGGTTTCATCTGGAAAATACAGTATACCACCTGGCTATCCAACGTGGTAATGGTCAAAAAGCCAAATGGGAAGTGGAGAGTATGCACGAATTATACCGACCTGAATAAGGTATGTCCAAAGGATGCGTACCCTATGCCTAATATAGATCAATTGGTTGACAGCTCCTCTGGGTTTCAGATGTTGTCCTTCATGGATGCCTATTCCCGATATAACCAAATTCCATTACACCCAGAGGACCAAGAGAAAACAACGTTTATCTCAGAGAAAGCAAACTATTGCTATAATGTAATGCCTTTTGGGTAAAAAAATTCAGGAGCCACTTATCAAAGAATGATGAACCAGGTGTTTGCAGACCAGCTGGGCAAAAGTGTTGAGGTATACATAGATGACATGATAGTCAAGTCACTAAATTCAACAGTGCATATGGAAGATTTGGAGCAGACATTTGAGAAATTGAGGCGACACAACATTTGGTTAAACCCAGCAAAATGCGCTTTCGGGGTCTTTGCGGGAAAGTTCCTCGATTTTATCTTGACTCACAAAGGTATTGAGGCTAATCCGGATAAGTGCAGAGCCGTGCTAGAAATGAAGGCTCCTACGAGCAAGAAAGAAATACAACAATTAACGGGGAGATTGGCCTCCCTCACTAGGTTTCTTCCCCGGTCTGCAGAAACAACATTACCTTTCTTCAAGTTACTTAGAAATGAGGTGCAATATGGATGGACCTCAGAATGTGAAGCCGCGTTCCAAGAGATAAAAAGGCAGTTAGCTTCTCCTCCAGTGTTAACAAAACCAAGGGAGCAAGAAACTTTGGTAATGTATCTTTCTGTGGGTGATGTTGCTGTCAGTTCGGTCCTAGTACAAGAAGATGAAGAAGGACAACAACCGATTTACTTCGTAAGTCGGCTTTAGCAAGGAGCGGAGCTCAGATATTAGAAGTTAGAAAAAGTGGCTTGTGCCTTACTGATCTCTGCTAGAAGACTCAGAGCATATTTTCAGGGACACAAAATCTTGGTCAGGTCAGATTTTCCAATTCGGAAAATTCTCCACAAACCTGATCTAGCAGGAAGGATGATGAGCTGGGCTGTGGAGCTGTCAGAATTTGATATAACATTCGAGAGTCGTAAAGCAATCAAATTCAAAGCACTACCAGATTTTGTTAGAGAACTCACTTCAATCCAAAATGGGAATTCGGATAGCCTGGATACCTGGAAATTGTATGTAGATGGCTCCTCCAACTCAAAAAATAGTGGAGTCGGGGTCATCATCGAAAACCCTGAGGGTGTAGCCATTGAGTATTCCATGCAAATGAGTTTTGAAACATCAAACAACCAGGCAGAATACGAAGCCCTCATAGCCGGCCTTCAGCAGGCTAAGGAACTCGGAGCGCGGAGGCTGCAGGTTTACAGTGATTCTCAATTGGTTACGTCCCAAGTGGAAAGGAGTTATCAAGCTAGAGGACCATTGTTGACGAAGTATTTAGACTCCGCTAGGCAGTTAATGGCAGAATTCGAACAAGTGGATATCAGCCACATTCCGAGGAATGAAAATAGTAGGGCTGATATACTATCCAAGCTAGCAAGTACAAAAGGAAGAGGGAATCACAGGACGGTGGTTGAGCAGAGCATCCCAGAGCCCACTTGTGTTATGCAAATAACAAGCATTGATGATTGGCCTTTCGATATCATCGAGTACTTCAAAAAAGGGACCTTACCGCCAGCAATAGAGCAAGCCAAGAAATTGATTCGAGAAGCAACCATGTACACTGTGATAGAAGGCCAACTTTACAGGAAAAATGGTTTTTTCACCTTTGTTAAAATGTCTGAGCTCGGATAGGGCACAATACGTATTGGATGAAATACACGAAGGGATAAATGGCCAGCATGTCAGAGGAAAAGCCCTAGCTAGAAAGGCGATTAGATCTGGATATATTTTGCCATCAATGAACAATGATACCAAAGAGCATGTCCAAAGGTGTGATCAGTGCCAAAGGCATGGGAAGAACCTCCTGGCTCCCCCGGAAGAATTAAACTTGATTACGGCTCCATGGCCATTTTACAAGTGGGGAATGAACCTTTTAGGCCCATTCGCTGCTGCAGAAGGACAGTTGAAATGGTTGATTGTGGCCGTTGATTATTTCACGAAATGGATAGAAGCAGAGCCAGTGGACACCATCACTTCGGCTAGAATATAGCGTTTCTTTGAGAGAAATCTAATCTGCAGGTTTGGTATCCCGGCTGAGGTGGTAACTGACAATGGAACGCAGTTCACAAGTAAATCCTTTCATGAGGTAAAGGCGAACCTTCATATCCGGCATCGATTTGCATCGGTGGAACCCCCCAGACAAATGGTCAGGCGAAAACAGCTAACCAGGTCATTATAGAAGGAATAAGGAAGAGGATAGAGCAATCTGCCAAGGGGAAATGGGTAGAAGAATTGTACTACGTATTTTGGGGATACAGAACAATGATGCAGACATCCACTACAGAAAGCCCATTTAGACTGACTTACGGGTGCGAAGCTATGATTTCGGTGGAGTTAGGAGAGCCGTTCTAGAGGATATTTCAGGCGCTAGCACAAGCGGAGGAGGAAAACAACAAAAAGATGGCGGTAGAGTTAGATTTGATAGATGAGGCCCGAGTTGTGGCTCATTGTAAAAACTTTGCGGTTAAACAACTTATGGCAAACAGATTCAATAAAAAGGTGAAGCCTAGATCATTTGAAGTAGATGACTTGGTTCTTCGCAGAGCCAACGTAGGAGGTCGCAACGCAGCTGAAGGAAAACTAGCTCCAAAATGGGAAGGCTCATTAAGAATAAAAGAAAAACTGTCAAAGGGAGCTTATGTGCTCCAAAGGTCAGGTTCTATTCCAAAAGAATCTGCTGCAAGTTTTAAGTCGGCTTTGGATTGCTCCAAAGGTGACTTCAATTCAGCAGCAGTAATAGTCAAGCTTTGATTCTCTTGGATCGACTTGTCACGATCAGCCCATAGCACATTTCTATCAACCTCGAGTGCATCCTTCTCAGCACAGATTTCTGAGTACTTATCCAACAGCACAGAGTAAGGCTTCAATAGCGAGGCCACCTTGTAAGCATATAATTCGAATTTCTGAAGCTCTTCTATCTTGGCCCTGGAGACGGCCAGTCCCATAAAAGAAGGGTGGAGGGCGAGTAACACCACGGAGCTCTGGGGCAACCCCGGTTTCCCATAGAGCTCCCCTCTTAAGACCGGCAGGAAGATGAGTAGGTGAAGGAGTATGTAACACCCCGTGTATACCCGGTTTGTTATCATGTCATCGTATTAAGTTACGCTTAATTAAAAATGCGGAATACACTTTTCTTTTCAAATATGACGTCAAGAATATTACCAAGTTGATTACTTTACCCTTTTTAAAACATTGCCTGTATGTAGATTGCAATAAAGCTAAATACACTAAATAACCTCAATATATAAATAACTGTGAGTATCTAAGTCACGGAACTACAACATGTAGTCCGGACATTAATCCTGATACATTAATACAACTCAAATCTAAATAAGACATAGTCAATCAATGTGGCATGGACAACCCCCATGCTCACCAAATAAGGCAACAAAGCCCCACAGACTCTCAACAATACAAACAGAAACATAAAGATACAACATATCAGCATCCAATCATAACAGTAATAATAGCTAGCATATCACATCTGCTCCGGCCTCCTGTCGCCCGAGGTCTCAACCCCCGAGTTACCTGAACCTGAAATATGTGCCCCAAATATGGAGTGAGATCTCTAAACACAAATCTCAGTAAGGCAAGGGGTCCTCAAGGATTTCTCCACCCCAAGCTCACTTACATGTGCAATATAAGTTCAAAAGCAGTAATATAATATAAGTTCCAAAATCAGTGCAATGCAGCAGAATAATCATGTCATGTGTGTCAACTATTCTACTGGCCAAAGAAATGCAGAATTTACATACGTCTATTACCTACATTCAGTGCAAGTCACTACTTACACCGACCCACAGAATCACCCTATGGCATGTCTCATACATACACAGGCTTACCGTCTAGGTGGAACAACACATGCATATTATAAGCACTTGCACATAACAGCTCAACATCATTTCAAAATCAATACATGAAAACACATCATGCATATAAACCATCCCCCCATGGGGTATGGTGGAACCAACAATGGCTAAACCAAGGACACGAAAGCTTATCTCGCAAGCTAACTATCCAACCAAGAGTCCAACCAAGCTCAAAGTCCACAAACAGTAGAATCACAAACCAAAGGTTCAAAACAGCAAGCACAAGGGCTCTTGGAGCTCACAAGTCAGCTCCAAGGTGCTGACTCCAAGGGTACACGAAAATGAGCTTTAAGTTGGTTCCTTTCTTCACAAAGATGGCTTCTTGGAGCACCAACTACCAAGGAAATGGCCTCAACAACCTAAGCCAAAGAACTCAGCCCTCTAACTCCCACAAGTAGAGGCTGAACACCCAAAAAATGACTACTTCTCACCCTCACAAGGTTGCTCTCACCAAGCTATGATGATTAGAGGAAGAAACTATGACCAAAGGTGGCTACTTTGGGTTTCTATGGAGAAAAAGATATGAAATGGTGAGGGAGAGGTCCAGCAGCCAAGAGAGGTCAGAATTTTCACGAAGAAGGCACAAGAATAAACCAAGGATCATGTGCCAAGTCTTTAAATAGCCACTTAAGTTTTAATCGCACTGTATTAGCGCTAATAGCTACGCTTAGCATTTTAATCCCAAACTTAGGATTCTGAACCTAGTCATTTTTCTAGGATTTGTCATATTTTTATTTTATTTTTCGCAGTACTTTTTCGGTACGCGCTTTTACATAGCCAGTATCAGTTCTCATTATTTTGACCTGAAACTTGTTATGCTAGTCCTATATATTATTCTAGTGACATATACATACTTTTCGTAATTTTCCGGGATACTTCATTGGTACGCATTTATACCGTGAGGCAGAACCGGTATCTACACTTTTCGTCAGAAAAACGACTTTCAACGTTATTAATCACTTACCATAATTATTTAAGCCTGCTCATAATTACTAGGGTCAATTATGGAATTATCTCATAATTATTTAATTAAATTCCTAATTTAACGGTGCGAGTTCTTACAGAGTACCTCGGTCTACAGATACTACAACACATGTGGTACCTCCGCCTTCGGTTAGAGAAGCTTGGTTACACTCCAGATTAACGCCCGATGTCGGGTCCAACCAGTTGTCAGCGTCATTTGTAAGGACCATCACGTTTGGATTAACGGCCGGCGTGGAGGAAGTGGCACCTGCGGAAGGACTAATAGTCCTTTGCCTTTTAGCAGCAGGAGGAGGCCGAGCTGCAGCCTTCCCTCGAAGAGATAACGCATAGTCAGGTACTTCGTCCGCTGCAGAATCCATATGACAATCTGCAAGTCAAATAAACACAATTACAACAAGAAAAATAAGCAAGTATGGAAAGACATCTGAAGAAATGAAAAAGGCATACTAGTTTGATCTAGGTCGACATGGGACTTAGTAACCAGAGAAGCAGAACTTAGATGGCCTCTAGAGCCGACATGAGTTAGTAGGATCTTAACATTAGCTTTGTCATCCACCGACAACCTAAGCTTAAAATCAGCCGACCTACGTAGGTGATGTTCTTGAGACCAGTAAAGAGGAAACTTTCCCTCCCCGTTCTCTCTTACAAACCACGGTCTCTCTCTGACTTCAGCAACCACTTTAAAATATGAGCCCTTGAAGTCTTTAAAAGAGTCGCTGTAAACAGAAAACAATTTCCTGGAGGGCTTGCTGGCACGACCGCGGATGCTGGTCCACCTTTTGAATTGAGGAGGCTCGAAATCGGTGCGAGGAGTGTATATGTTAAAAAAGTAAAGAAAAATAGGGACAATGCATGTTATAGACAAGGATGCGCATAATTTCTCAAAGGCAACAATATAGGCCCAACCATTGGGATGAATTTGAGTGGGGGAAGAAGAAGAAGGTTCAGAAGCTGTATTTTAAAAGGAGAAAGAGGAAAGCGAATACCAATCTTGGTAATTAAGTCGCGGTAAAAAAAGAAAGAGTTTGGTTCTTCAAGATTCCGGCCTGAGCAAACAGGCTCGTCTTCTGCTGGACAGAAGGTATTGAATCCCACCAGATTACCTATGGGGAGCCCGGATATCTCCTCGGTGGTCATGGTGGATCTGAAGTCGAGAACTTCCTCAGTGACCCAAGGAAATTATCAGCGAAGATTACTATTGACCGGCGCGGACCCTTTCTCGGCTGGTCTCACCTCGGCCTCCTGTCCTTGGCTAGATGAGGCAATCTCCATATTTAACTCTGCAGAAGGGGACTCCATAAAAACCTAGAACAACAAAATGGGATGATTAAAAGCAAAATAAGTACGTAGCAAGGAAAGTACGTACCTGACCTAAACAAACTACTATGAGAAGAGCTTGAGGAGTCATCTGAGGTAACCAAAGAAGCAGGGGTAGATGAGCCCAAATGGTGTGAACAACTTCCTAGCACCAGATCGGCCATGAAATCGTTTTCTTTTTCAACAAATTGAGCGCTAAGGTAAACGCAGTTAAAGCAAGGATCCGGTTTTCTACCACCCGGGTTAACTGACACAGCTTGGGAAGGAGGTCGAAACGGAGTAGGGGTGTGAGTGGAGGTAGAGGTCGAACGAAAAGGGATGGAGGTTTGACCTAAGTTACGAGTAGCACGTTCTGGTAGAACACCTAGAGCACGGCTAAGACCTCGGCAGCGCCCTTGGGTAGAGGGACGAGATGAAGACGCTCCCTTATTTCTACCTCCTCGATAGCCTCCAAGTAAGGCG